AGCTCATGTTACATTCATGTCGACTGGAGATTCATGTTGCGTTTTTACGAAATAATCGAAATAATTTTTCATGTTCGGTTCTTGATATAACAGATCTGTATTCCCATTTTTATGCTCAGCGACACATATGAATTTGGATGGCTTGATAGTCACAAAATCAAAATGTATCAAACAGTCAGCTATTTGTAAATAGCTCAGCTCAATATGCAGCCAAACGGTATGTCTGATTTTTGAATTGAAAATGGCCACTTTTCATTCCACTTGAATTTATCGACCCAACAATCAAAAACGAAACAATTTATTTGTTGAAAATCCAATTTTAATTTATCTGAGCAAAATTTCTAAATATATCGGTACACATTTACATTGTGTAAATTGATAAAATTGATGCGCAATCCATTTGGTATGGTATCGTTTTTGGAAGTCAAATCGATTGCCCCTGTTGAACATGGTGTGTTGTGGTGTGGTGTGAAAAAGGAACTTCGGCAAAGTGTGATTTATGGTCAAAAATGTTTGCATAAATTATTCGGTAATATTTTAAGGAACAACACGGAATGAACAGTGCACGCCAGCCTCTTTTTTTTATCAGTAGAGCATTTCCAAAAGAATGTTTGCTGTTTTCGTTTCATCTTCAGCATTTGCGTAGTTACTGATACAAATGTGTCGAAACTCAATATATGTATCCGTCAAACTTTTTCAATAAAACTCACGGCAAAATTTCGGCATGGCCACAATTTGAAAAGCCACACGAAACGGTCGAGTGGCAGGGAAAATGCTACAAAACAAATGTAGTTTGTTGTAACATGGGCAAAAAAAGCAACAGTGGTTCCATGGACTATGTTGTAGAAATTCACACAAGACTCGGGTGAAATGCTGCGCAGTGAATTTCCTTACGCATTTTGAATCAGAACATAAATTTTCCCTGATAATATACCAGTGCTTGTGTCTCAAGAGAGAGAGAAAAGAGAAAACGAAGAGCGAGAGAGTGAATTAGGTAGAGAGAAAACGATTGTTCTTTCCTCGATAACTCACCCCACCCGTACTTATAGTCCGTACGGCAATAGTTCGTGTAAATGATTATTTATTGTTTGTTTCGGTTTTTCTTTGAAACAAAAACTGTAATTTTTGGCCATTCTGAAAGCAATTTTGTTGAATTGAAAATTTGCAACTTTTGGAACATTAAAGTTTATGGTGCTGAAAAATAACCATTGTCCAAGGGCAACATTTAATTATTTATTGTGGCTACTGGCGACTATTAATAAAATTCGTTATCAGAATGGAAACGCCATTTCATGATGCTGACAATATGCGTCCCTTTTTCCATTATCTCAAGCCGAGCTTCTGTGTCTGAGTTTATTTGTTCGGAAGCGGAATATGCTTCAATTTATCGCTTCGTAATCCATTTTCGGTCGCTTTGAAAGCAGTAAAAAACCATTTAAAAATTCATGTTAAAAACATGGAACTTACTCCATTCATGTGTGCAAAATGCACATTGATTGGATAATTAATAAATAATTGTGCTCAATTAACATGTGCAAAATGAGAAGAATTCAAACTAAATTCCTGCAGTATTAATACTACCGAATTCGGCATACTAATTCGGTATACGTATTATTAACTAATTAATTGTGGAACTTTGTGGAATTACAAGCTTTCAATCAAATCGTTTTTTTTTTTTGTTATTTGAAAATCTACTGCATTTCACGTGGAAAATTTTCCAACGATTTTGATTTCACAATGAAATTGATTTTGATTAGTAAACGTTTTGCCATAATATCTGACGTTGAGTGGATACAAATTGAAAATGGTTGAAAGTTTTAATGGAAATTTTGCATAAAAACTCGTTATTGTTAACTTTTACGTAACATGCATTGTTTGTCGAGTGTGTTCGCTACCTTGTTTTTGTAAATAAGCCGCGATTTAGTACGTGTTTTTGTATTTTATTCGTTTACCGTTTTGGAATAGACGGAAATGCTTAGTAGGTGAAATACCGATTCACACTCACTTTCTCTTTCAATTGCTCTCGGTTTCGGCGTAACACGTGGAAAATGCACGTCAAAAGAAAAATGATATCCTTATCAAAGCTTTTGCTTCATTTAAGCGAAAAAAAAGGTTGGATTTAAAAAAAACTGCTATCTATCGTGTGTGTGTGCGAATCATTGAAGCATGTGAAATGTGAAGAAGAACGAATACCGCAGAATGAAATTCATGAAGCATTTACGGTATTTAGATAAAAGTCTAATCGGCATATCTACAGCTGAATGCGTTGGTTAGCCCTTTGGATGAACTTTTCTGCAAACACACACACATACGCACACACACGCGCGTACATACTTGGCACCACATTCACGGACGAACTGCACATTTAATTTTCCGATTTATTATCGAAAATTCCACTCGTTTTAACCGAGTGCAGTTATTTTCAATACACTTCTAAGAAGCGCAATTGCAATCGACACGCATATGCTTGCGATTCAAGTCGCCTTGAGTTCATTCCAAAAGTTATGACAAACTCAACAGTTCAACCGAAAATTATTTCTTAATCAAAATGAAAACCGAACTTAGTTCTAATGAATGAATGGGTCAATTGTGATGCAACATAAATATTTTTTCTTCGAATGCTATTCTTGCGTGGACGCAATCTCTTATAGTGATGATGAAAAATTATCAATGAAATTATCATGGAAATGAAAGCAGAAAAAACCAAACCAATTCACAACTTTTTGCATAAATTGAGTTATCTTATTAGAAACATCGAAAATTTTATGGTAAAACATTGTACCATTTTGGAAATGTAAAAATTGTAAACATGTTTCGACCTTAATTTCGCTCTTTTCGTCCCGGCTCAACTAGTTTTTTTTCTTTCAATATTGTGATAAATATTACTGTATTACGAATTTTAGTAACTTTTCACTTCATTTTCAATTGCAGCGTGTGGTTTGTGCATGTCGATTTTTTGTACAAAGTGAAGCCGAAGTTTGTGGCATGTTTAACGTTTTGTTAGTGGTGTGATTGTACATTGGGCTGTGGTTGGGCCAACTGTCGTCATTTTAACCACCACCAAATAAATGGTGTAATGTGAAACTTTTTCATTTCATTTTTTATTCAGCCTCTCAAAGTTTTTTTCCCCGTTCAAATGATACACATAGACGCTTTTTCTCCTACACACAAACTCACAGTGCTAGTTTGGCCAGTTTAGAAAAAAAAGTGTTTGGTTTCAGATGATGCTTGAACTTTATAACAAACAAATGGGCAATTGAAATATAAATTCTAGATGCATTTCGAGCGAAAACTTTGTCATCTTGTGTGTGTATGTGTACACAAGATTTTTTTTCCATTGAAACTTTGACCTACGAAGAAAATGGCTTTCTGCAATCTGCGCCCGGAGCTAAGCTGTGACTATTTCACATCGGGTGTTTCAGTGTATTCACACTGCGGTTGGCTATAGTTGTGTATACAAAATAAGCAAACATCACAATTTTCGCTTTTTTAATGACGAGAAAATGCTATAAGACTTTCAATCGCAGCATAAGTGAGAACGAAATTGTTATTTTGTCCATTTATACCGTCATTTGGTTTGAATACACATGATATTGATTTAAATTGTATTTTACATTTTAATCTTAAACCGAATCAATTGCGTTGCAATTCGAATGGTGTTAAACATTCACATAGGTTCAACATTAGCGTATGCCAAGCACATAATGTGAACAAAGGAAAAGTTTTTCACATGAAATTAAAGATGAAAAGTTGTTCACATTACGATGAAGACACAAGATGCGTTCTCATCAACTAACCGAACCGTTTTGTGGTCACACTAGCGTAAGTCCCCTTTGCATTTACATGCACAAAGAATACGTTAGAAACGTTGTTCCGTTTACCACAATCTATCATCATTTAGAGTATTTTATCTCCATCTCAATGGCATAGAGAGAGAGAGAGAGAGAGAGAGAGAGAGAGAGACGGATGCATTCGAGATGGCAACTGTTCGATGTCTTGTTATGTGAAAATATGAAAGTCACCCAAATTGAGCGTATAAATCGTTAGCTTTTCAAGACAAAAATGGGTTGCTCTATACATACTAATTTGTTCATTCGTTTGTTCGTTGGTTGGTTGGTTTGTTCGTTGATTTGTTCGTTGGTTTGTTCGTTATCCATATGCATCAAGCTTTAAAGCCATGGATATTCCGAATGGATTTGCGAGTAAAACAAATGGACAATGTAATGATAAAGAGCGCAATCAGTGTGTTTATTTTGACTCAATTCGTTCGGTGCTTTTGTTGTTATTGCTAAAATCGTTAAGATGATGATTCTTTCAGAAATCACTACGAATTGCTTTTTTTAAAAAATCGTTTAAATGCAAATTTCACTCTTTCGATTGGCATCACGTCAGCAATTCAGTTTTATGATGCAACATTTTCCAACAAACCGCATCAAAATCAAAATCGGCGGCGGATTGCGGAGCAAGCGCGACCGAGTTTTCAATCTAGTGTGTGATTTATTTTGGTTTATTCTATCGTCCCCATATTCAGTAGGTAAATACTCGAATCTCTCTTTCATTCACAGTTGGGTGTTGCGATGGGATTTTTGCTGCCACCGTTATTAGTACAAAACCACGATGATCTTGAATTGGTTGGACGGGATTTCCAGTTAATGTTCTATTTGATAGCCGGTTTTACCACATTGCTTGTTACATTGGTTGTACTGTGTAAGTGTTTAAGCTGTGTATTTGCCGCCGTCGAAAAAAAATACGACAAAAAATATCGCACCAAAAGCTACAATAAGCTGTTAACAAAAGATATAATCGTTCGTTCATTTTCTCTGACTTTCTCTCATTCTCTATCTCTATGCGTGCGTCTACTATTGCTATAATCGCAACAAAAAAAAACAAACGGGAACCATTTTATGCTGAAAACATCAGTTTTCCAAGCTCAACCGCCAACACCGCCGTCAGCAGCACAAGAGGCAACACAGTCACCCATCGAATCGTCACCATTCTTACATTCCATTAAACGTTTATTCCTCAATGTCAACTATATTCTCTTGCTCATTTCATATGGCATGAATGTGGGTGTCTTTTATGCCATCTCAACACTTCTCAATCGGGTGAGTATGCAAATACAATTTTTCGCAACACTTTGAATATCAAGTGGTGTTTATCAGCGAGCGTACGGCGTACGCACAATGCGTCGTCGTCATCGAACCTATGAATATGCACTTCTTTTTTTTTCTCTTGCTTTGCTTCAGCCACAATCAAAACATTTTTAGCTGAAATCTCTGACGCATTATCAGCAGCTGACCGTTATCCAAACATGAAATCGGCTGAAAAAATCTACCTTCAGCAAGTTGGTTGGTTTTTTTTTTCAACCAACAATTTCGTCAATGAAATTCGACTGTGGAATACAAGTCTGGCTTTAGAATCCTGTAGAATTCAAATTGGTTTTTTGCATGCAAATCCATAAAAAAAAATTGGTCAAACAGTTGATATTCTGTCGCAACATCAATTCCATTGTAATTGCAACATCTGTATACAAATTTTCGCGTTGAACATAAAAAAAAGAGAATTTGAAAATCTTTTTCGAAAATTTCATTGGCTAAAATTCGCATAAACTCGGCACAGATTCAGTTGTAGTACTTGAAGCTTGTCAATTAACTACGTATTTTATATGTTTTTTTTTGTTTGTGTACAATTTCGAGATGTTTTTATGATTTTCGACATCATCGTTTTTTTTTTTTAGATTGTACTTTTATATTACCCTGGCCATGAAATGGATGCTGGCCGAATTGGATTGTGCATTGTGTTGGCTGGTATGTTGGGCTCAGTATGTTGTGGCATTGTTTTGGATAAAACCCATCGATTCAAGTAAGTGGTCGCATGTTTTGCCAAGAGGCACTCTAACAGTCGACTGATAAAAAAAGGAAATTACTCATTGCGTTTATCTTGGTTTTTTTTTCGGTTTTATTCGTTTCGATAGAGAGACCACATTATCAGTGTACACATTTTCGATGATCGGTATGTGGATTTACACGTTTACTCTTAACGCCGGCCACATTTCCATCGTGTATGTGACGTCGTCATTGCTTGGGTGAGTATCAAGCCCCTCCCTTTTTCCCAATCAATCAACGCTTCTTTTTTCATCAATTGAATTTCGTTTGTTTTTGACACACTTCAGCTTCTTTATGACGGGATATTTACCAGTTGGGTTTGAATTTGCTGCCGAATTAACGTATCCAGAGCCGGAAGGAACATCGGCCGGATTATTAAATGCTGCCGCACAAATATTTGGCATTTTATTCACATCGCTCTATGCTGAATTATTTGATCGTCTCGGCGATAGTGCGGCCAACATTACGATGGCGATCATGTTGTGCGTTGGCACAATCGTAACTGCTGTGATTAAGTCGGACTTGCGACGACAGGCTGCATCGCAAGCAATAAAAAATTGAAGCAACCATTTATTGTAGGAACATTTTGAAAGGAAGAAAAATCTGCATTCCATCTGGATGAATTGTCTTACCTAAAAACACACACACACACACATCGTAGCGTATAATCGTTGTGACCAAATTCGGTGCATTTTAAAATTGGAATCAATCGTTTAGGAAACTAATTTAGTGTAGATCATTTTATCAAAGAAAACAGTGAAAAATTAGTTAATTTACAAGCGACTCTATTCTTTAAAATATTGTGTTTTTTTACGAATTTGCCATATCAGCCAAATGTTAGGATTTTATTTGTTTCTTTTTTTTTTATTTGGCAAACCAAAGCAATAAGAATAAATTGTTTTACTGAAAGAAAAACGAAGTAAGACACCAGCGGGACAGGAGACTTTTACCATTTGAAAAATGCCCTTCACCAGACCCAACAATCTATTTACACAAATCGGACGATTTCTGTGAATTTTTTGTTGTTTTTTTCTTCCTTTTTTAAAGTACACTTTATCGCAATATGCCGAGTAAACTTCCTATTGCTCCATGTGTATCGACAAAATTGCTCAAGACTTGAGCCTCAAGTAGTAAAACCGATCATGTATAGAAATGATTTATTTTAGGTACTTCAATGTTTTTGATCTTGCAAAATGACCTGTGAAAACAAAATGGAATGATTGAAATGCTTCTTAGAGAGAAAAAAAGCGAAAAAATTTCCGAATTTCCTTCATACCAAATATTCATTAAACAAAACCGAAACGATAGTGCCAATAGAAAACAAAAATGAAATAATTATATATATTTGTGTATGAAAGAGAAAAATTTATTGAAACAAAACAGTATAGGATATTCAATGTATGTAAAGTAAATATATATATATGTATACACAGCCCAAAGAGAAATATTTATTTAGATTAAGACAAAAACGCCAAATGAAAAAAAAAACACACATACACATAGCAAAAGAAAAAAAACCGACAACAACATGAGCAATTATTATTAAAATGTTGAGAATACTATATTTTTAGAATGAATGAAAGATGAGCCCACGGCTTGAATGCAACCGAATTTTATGAAACGTGCAAGTAAAATGTAAACTAAAAACAGCGTTCCTTAACACAAAGCAAAAATTTTAACCTCAAATACATATACTCGCGAAGCAGTCCCAATTGAATTTTAGAGCGTAACAAAGAAGTAGAAAAAAAACGCCAGAAAAACGAAACCTATATACATCCTCTGGCTTAAAATTGCTCAAATCTTATTGCAAAAACAATAAAATGAAGAAAAAAAAACGGTACTTCAACCGATTAACTCCAGGAAAACGAAAAAATCAACCCAAAATCCAAATGTCTATATCCAAATCCGATAATAATTGTTCAATTCAATGTGAACGATATTTTAAAGTGAATTTTTTTCGATCGAAATTTGTCTCCTTTGATTCATAGTAATTTATTTGATGCGCTTTTGTATCGTAAATGGCTTTTGATGTGCACAGCGAAAACCAAACAAGGAAATAAGCAACAGCCAAATACATTGGATCGACAATAAAAGGCGAAAACACCACCGCAAAATACCCAAACGAATATTGAAACAGCAGCTACGCAACTAAGTTTTCAGCTAAAACTGAATGTTTAACAAGTGAACCGGAAGAAAACCTGTTTGAATCCAAAAAAAAAAAAATAGAAAAACGACAATACTTTATTCGAGTTATCAACCGATTTTTCCATTGTATATCCTAATATATTTTACTGAAAATAAAAAGAATCACAAAAAAATGTGCCACTTTCTTCCAATGTAGCGACTAATGTGTGTAGCATTCAACGTATTTTTCAAATATGCCAAAGGATAGCTTTGCAATCCATAGTCATAAAACCCTTGGGAAAATGTCGAAGATGATTTTTTGGTCACAAAACGTTGAAATGGGCGGTCAAATCCACAGAAGAGATAGAAAATATCTATTTTATCTTTTTTTATGTTCAAAATATATTAATTTTGTATTTTAATGAAATTGACCACCCATTTTGGCGTAATGAGATTAAATAATTATCTTTGGGAATACACACACACACAAATTTAATAAAAAAGAAATCTTGTAATTGTTTAGAACTTTATAACTGTTACTGTGCATATTGAGAGTAGTTCAGTGAAATAGAGTACAAAACTGTTATTTGAAGGAATAGCAGAAATTTGAAAATTGTTTACCCCTTTAGACGACATCAACAACAACTTGCCATTTTACAAAGACACACAAAGAAATAATGAAGAAACAATGTGAAATTATGATTTGCTCATAAAACATAGAAAAGATAATGAGATTTAATAGGGAAAAATGATTTAAGGTGTACCTTGACGGCTTGAAATGGGCCACAATTCTAGAAAAAAATTTAAGCAAACCAAATTGTTGTAGAATCTGCTTATATTTATAACATAAATATATATATATATATATATATGTCAAAAGCGTTATTCGATTCCAAAAGAGACACACATTTTATTGATGGTTCAACCTAGTGGAAATGGGTGTGAAGAATGGGGCTCACTGAATGAACCGAATCAATACACCATTCATCATCTCGCCACGTATGAACCATTGTTGATATTTTATTATAAATGTTTAAAATACATAAATGTAAATGTTAATGGTGCCAACAACCAAATTATTTTTAAGCCAAAACAAGAAGAAAAAAAAATGACGTGACACCTGTATGGATGATATGATTTTGGAAGATGTTCGAAATAAACTCGTTCTTATTATTAAAATTTAAATTTTTTTCAGCTAAAAATATATCTTTTAAAAATGAAATTATTCCTAATTCCTTCTTTTGGTGGAAAAGAAATCGTCAAAAAAATGATTAAAGTATATATTGAATTGAATCATTCTCTTTGAATTAAATTTTGTTTAACATTTCGGTCCATTTTATTTGCTCAATTTCATAATGAAATTCAGAGACAATAACACATTTTTTTTTACTGTGAACCAAATTTTACTATTTATTCAAGACATGTAGAAGAAAAATCGAAATTATTGTATTTTAATCAGTTACTAATCAATCTTTATCATGTTCACTTTTGACGAATCAATCTGTTTATTCTCTCTCACTCTCTCTCTCCCTCTCTTTCTCACACTAACTCTCTTTCACTCGCTCAAATTGAAGCATATTTTGGTTGTGTTTGCATTCTACGCCTATTTCACTCAACTATTTAATAAAAAAAAAGGTTAAAACGCAGCACAATTAGTTACGTTTTCAAACTCAATATTCATATATACTTTACCACGTTTGATTGCAGCTACAAAAAACAGGCCAAAGTGGATAAATTAAGAACCGAGAACATATTGCAAATTTTACGAACGAAAAATTCGAAGCGAACACGTGCGCCGCATCGTTTGTGATGAGATGATTTTTTTTTTCTCGTAGCAAAATTTTAATAAGACAAACACACACACAATTGATGATCACGCTAATCAAGTTGATGATGTTCAATTGTATAAAAATAGAGTTAAAAATCACAAAATGAAATGCTGATCGACAATTAATTTTACTTATCACAATAATAATCAATTGGAATCAGTTAATCAAAATTCATTTGAGAAAAGAACAACAACAATGTAACGCGATAGAAATGAAAAATTAGCATTCGTTTAATTTCCCCGATCATTTTGAAAAATATAATGATCTGTTGTGGAGAGAGAATTACAGCAATTGAATCGATGGATCAGCATCATTGTTCACTAAATGATTATTCAAATATTTGAAGAAAAAAAAACCCTAAAATGTAACTATCAACACAATCAATAACTGAAAGCATTATAAATAAAGAGTAAAGCAAAAGCGTTAAATTCATGGTGTATTTTTTATTCACAATTTCGATTTTTAAAATCATACCGTTGAAAAATGCTAAATTGTAAACTCAGAGATAGCTCCAGATTTTCGGTGGGCCAAAAGTTGCTAATACTTACCAAACAATTCGTCCCGGACCACCCCATGATGACTGGACCACCCCTCTGAGACCAAAGAGGTGGAACAAAATTTTTTTGTCTTGAGATTCCCTTTTGATTGAGTTAAGACTCGAGCATATATGATTGGTGGCACATATGATTTCAAACATCGATTCACCCTAATTTTAGGGCATTTTATAAGGTAGAAAGCAAGTAAAAACTGGGTAAAAATACTTTCAGAAAAATGATAAAGGTGAGTAGATATCAGTATAAAGCCAGTTCGAATGAAGGTGAAAATGCCAAAAACATTCTCTTAAAAGTAATACCGAATGTTTGGGAATCAAACCAAATATAATACGTCTGGCTGCAGACGTTGTTTTCCTTATAAAATATGTTCTTTTTTTATTTCCAGTCTCGCTTAACTTAACTTAATTATAACAATTAAATGAATATAAAAAAAATAGTTCATGTGCTAAAAAGGAACAAAAATAAATCCTGGTATAAAAAAATAGTTGTGTGTCGTGTCGTGTTCGTTGAATTTTTTTCCTTTACACAAAAACGTGATCCCTACATGAAATGTGTTCAAGTGTTGATGAAATAGAAAACGGCATAATAACTTAAATTAAGTAGGTAAATGAAAAATGTGGAATACATTAAAACTTAAGAATATACAAATTGTGTTTCGGTTTTTAAATGTGAAGCACTTCATCCCAGAATCTCACCATGGCCATGTTAAATTCGTTGTTAGTGCGAACTTCGTATTTGCTCGATTTCAAATCGCCATTTAAATTGCGGAACTCTTGATAGTCGCAAATATTACCACGATGGAATTTTTTACATTCATGCACATCATTCCAAAGCAATGGACGTCTGTAATGAAACCCATTTATTTAAACACATATTATCTCCGAAAATACAAACATAACTTTGAAATTGTGCAAGGTAATCAATTAAAATGACATACCCGTGCTTGGCAAACTGTACATAGGTGCCAACTAATGCGCGAATCAACTGAGCGGCGTCGGAGCCGGTTGCAAATTCAGGGAACACCGCTGGTGTTTTGAACAGATAAATCAAGTCGTCAATGTGACCAACGCCAAAGTCTCTATTCGTGCCCGTAAACACACGCGAATACGATAGAGATCCTTTATACGCAAATTTATACAGATAAACTGGATTCTTTGTGGTGTTTGCATATTTGATATAGGCTTCGATAGCTTTGTAGAATGGATAGTGAAAACTTCTGTCGGTGTACATCTGCATCGAAATCAAACGGTTTTTTTTTAGCAAAACTCTTGGAACGAAATGGGAAGAAAAACGTTTTATCGGATTTAACTTACATCTACAAAACCTTGACTGTTGAAATCTTTTATAATGCTGCTGCTGTTCAAGTAAAATTCCTTCAGACGCTTTGTGATATAGGGCAATTTATCGGAATCGGCAGTGAGTTCCATTAGTTTTGGCAATAATTTGTCGAGATTTGCATTCAAATCCTCAATAAGATCTTTATCGGTTAGAATAGCTGCAAATTGTAAATGTGTTTGCATTAAATATTTGCCAACTTCATTATTGGTTGTAAGATGGGATAGAAAAGTAGGAGTTTTTTTTCAAAACCACTGCTTTTTTTTAGATTGAAATTCAGTGAATGAAATGAACAACGTTTGGAATTTGTGTGGGAAGAATGCAAAATATGAATTTCTCCAAAGATTATAATCTTTATTAATGAAGAAAAGAGAAGAAAAGAAAGAAAAATCAATCAAAACTCACCGGCTGCACGAACATTTCCTTCGTTCGGTACGATGCCGGTCATCCAGGGAACTTGTTTGAATGCGCCTCGCGTCCAAATAGCTGCCGGATGCTCGAACAAGAATGCACCTTCAGCTTTTGGTTCGACCACTGGTCGATACAGTGTCATTGGATCAACCGACCACAATTTTAAATCACCAATACTGTTAACCAGTACAGCAACATCGATATCACGAAGTTTGTCGATCAATTCGGCTGTGCTAAGTTGATCAATATTTTCAATGCCCACCACTTCAGCTTGCCGTTTAGCAAGTGCCAATGGATTAACAGTTGGTTCATTGTACGGTGCGGTTCCAAGTCCACTCATTGCAATAGCACGATGAAATAGTCCTTCAGATAATGGACTCATCATATGCATGTGAACTGTAATGAAACCCATAAATTTTTTAACAAACGTTTGCAAAGTAATCAATTAAAATGTATGACATACCCGATGCACCTCCAGCTGACGCGCCCATAATTGTTATCGAATCTGGATCACCACCGAATGCTTTGATATTTCGTTTGATCCATTTTAATGCCAACGTTTGATCTTTAAGACCGAAATTTCCCGGACTCGCTTCATCTCCAGTGGATATGAAACCCAACACACCAAGACGATATGTCATCAAAACCATGATCACTTGCTGTGTGTCCATGAAATAATGTGGCCCACGGAAAAGCGTATGAATTGAACCCGAAAAGAAACCACCTTCGTGTATGTAAACCATGACCGGAAGAGATGAATTTTTCTTGGACGATGTATTCTTGAAAGCGAAAATGAGAAATTAATCAATTAGACAATCAAACATCAGAAAATGGTAAATATGCTGAGAAAATGGAAAATTCATTTAGAGGAACTTACTGTGGGTCGATAAATATTCAAATAGAGGCAATCCTCTTCACCATCAAATGTGGCATTTGGAATTAAAACATTTTTTTGCGCGCAACCGTTACGCTCCAATTTGCCATTCAGCAAACCTGTCCATGGTTTTTTTGGCACTGGATTCTGTGGATAGAAAGCAATGGAGATTGCAGAAAGGAAAAGTAATTAATTTAGACGAATTAACAAGCAAAGACAAGACACAGAAAAAGCGCACGAAAACCTGAGCCAGTGTGTCGTTGAATTAGTCATAAACACACATGCAAGACGAAGAAAATCAAAAAAAAAAACACACACAAAAAACGTGAGCGACGCAAATCGATAATCGGTTGCGGTACTGGTTTTCGAAAACTTTGCGCGTTACGTTTCCCATTGAAGCAAAAGAAAGAAGTAAATTGCGATTAGCCGCAAAAATTTCATGACAGAGGTGATTGATCTTTTTGACTATCTCTCTCTCTCTCTCTCTCTCTCATTGTGTATGACGATTTCGTCATAGAGCACACGACAGAAAGGAAAACCAAAAAATAAAATATTACAGAATTTTTACGGTGCCTTTGGTCTGATGTAAAAGAGAAAGGGAATTTTTCATTAAAAGCGAGTGAAATACCGCATCTTTTTTTGTTGCGATTTTGTCGCACGTTTTCTTTTCATTATTTTTTCTGTTTTTTCATTTCGTTTTCATATTATAGCCGGAGATGAATATTCTTTTCCCAAATTCGCTTCCAATATAAATCATTTTTGTTTGTTAGCCATGGATTGCCTATTACTGCATGTGTTTTACCGATCAGCCATACAATACGCAAACGAAGCAACAACAAACAATAGCAATTGTGTGTGTGTGTTTTATTGTTTAATGGACGTTTTGTCTTCTTTTGCTACTTTGTTCACTTTCTCGCATCGACATCATACGGAAAAATAATGTAAAATGAAAAGCGTCGTAAAAAAATTATTGACGATCTGATGATTGCACAACATTTTCCATATGGACACCAAACAGCCAATAAATTCGAATTTAATTTTAATAATCCATTAAAATCATTGATTATGTTATTTCATTTTTCACCCGTCGATGGACGTCGAAAAGTCGATTACTTTATTTTTTTTTGGCGTGTATTGCACAAAAGAAATACGATCGGTGGAACGCGGCGAGAGAGAGAGAGAGAGAGATAGTGAGAGAGAACGAGAGAATCAGAGTGAAAAAGAAGACAGAAAGTGGAGAAAAGTAAAAGAAATTACAGTAATTGTTGAAAAGACGCACAATGAAGCAATGGAATGGAACAAAATTGCCAATAATAATTGAGGAATTGGCGAAGAACATGTAAAACTGACCAATCGATGAGTGCAAATTAAAACTAGTTATGAGAAGACGTAACAGAAAATTACTCTCTCTCTCTCTCTGTCTCATATACACACGCATACAATGTTGTGTGTGCAGATGGAAGGTAATTTGTCATAAAACTTATAAAACGTGCGCTTTTTTGCTGGGAAAAAATGTTTGTGTTTTTCTTCTATCTTACATTGAATGGGAATTTAATTGATTGATCACTCACCGCAAAACGAAGTTTACCAACTGGCGCTTCAGCATACGGTATGCCAAAGAATGATTCATATTCGTCGATTTGGTAGCCGGGTGTTGCACGACCTTCAATACATCCATCAGCGGTGCACACGATTGGAAATACGCTGGTGAAATTGTCTTCAGTCAATGGTGGCGATGCCAGAGCCACAGGCTCATTGTCAAACGATGCGGATGGTGTACTCGACGATGAGATTATCGTCGGATTGGATGCATTCAGCAATCCAAACATTAGCACCACTGCTAGGCACTGTATTTGATACATTTTTTTTTCTTCTGTTTTCAACACCTCGACTTCTTTTACTCAATATGGAAAACGAAAAAACGTTGCAAAGAAATGGAAAAATGTGATCGAATCTGGCTCTCTCGATTTGTTATTCCCTTAACTTGAGATTGTTAATTTGAATATCAGCTGATCGATTGCGTCTTCTATTTGATATGTCTGAAAGTGAAAAGATTAAAGATTAAAGATTAGCACAAATTTGTTTAGTCTTTTTGTCATAATAGTTTTTTGTTCACTGTTCATTTCATTCATTGGTCGAGTATATCATAGTTTATTGTGAATCAAATCGATGGAAAGAAGGAATAAAAGAAAAAACGTAGTTGCAAATTGATTTTTTGCACAAGATTTCAATCTGAAGTGAGCAAGAGTCAGAGTCGGTATAAACATTAATTCAAATGGAATGTCAGTTATGGCATACGTGAGAAACGAGCGCGAGTTTCAAGAAATTTCAAACACGTGCGCCTCATTCACGCAAACATATCGTTCCCCTTCTGTCTCACACACTCACTCACACAGTTCTTCTCTCTCTTTCTCTCTCTCTCTCTCTCTCTCTCTCTCTCTCTCTCTCTCGTTTTATCTTCAGTTCACATTTGTTAGGCATGTTCAACGAGGTATAAACGGAAAAATATACGATTAAATTCTGCCATTAGAAATTCTGAATGACAAATTATGAATTATACCGATGCAATTAAACCGGTTCTCACACACAAAGCCGATTCCACATGACGAAAAAGTGTGTATTTTGACGCTGGAAATTGCCTCCCATTTCACGTGCAATTTTCGTTAGTTTCTTTTCTTTCACCATCATTTTTTGTAGGTTCGCTTAAAACCGAGATAAGTGTTACCTAATTAAAATCATGTACATACGCGATCGGACACATTCCCTTACATAATAATCTTGGTTCTTGACTGCACACCTAACACTTCGTCGTCACAAAAACACTATCACTCTCGCTCATTCGCTCTGCGTGTCTCATACACGCATCACAACAACCTTTGATTCCGATTTGACCAATGAAATAAAAAAGAGAGAAGAATTTAGCAATCATTTCTAAAGCTATTCCAATACATTTGGATTCGACTCTTTTCTATTTCTCTGTGCATTACTGAAATGAATTATCGCGCGATGCGGTTAGATAAGTTTTCAACGATTAAAACCATTCAAAACACACACGAGTTGATTTTGATTTATCGATTGAAATGGAAGAAATGTCTACAAATATTTGTTTGTTGTTACAACAACAACAACAACAACAACAACAACAACAACAGCAGCAGCACGAAAAAAAAACAGTGCATTTTATGTCAGTCTCTCGGATTGAAACTGTTTGATATGCTCATTGCGCTAACAAGTGTTAAAACTGCATCTCTTGCACTGCTACTGCTGTAGCTCGATTCATTTGTGAACCAAAGAAAAAGACATGTGTGAATATAAAATTATGAATGTAGCAATTATTAAGTGAAACGCATTGTAATAGAAAATCTCAATTAAAAGCCGCAGCAGCAGCAGCACCAGAAGAAAAGGAAAGAAGAATGAAAAACAAGGAAAAATATTTATCTTAACACGTCAATAGCCGCAATCACACACAGAGTTTGAAAATCACACATGTAATTTGTTATTTATAGTGTACATTGAATACGTTTTGCGATTACCGATAACCGAAATTTAACCTCAGGAAGATACCAACAGACATCAATAAACACATGCAACAAATAATAATAGACGAATCACATATATTTATATATTTCATCGAACGAACGATCGAACGAACGAACGAACAACAAAACTGAAAGAGAAAAAAACACGAACTTGTCTCCGTACACGTGTTAGCTGAACGTTTAGCTCGACAATGGCATGGAGTATTATCAACGGTCGCACTTTTGTTTACATTTCCCAACACACACACACACACACACACACCCGCCAACCAAACCAGAAGCCAATACACAAAAGATATGAATGAAAGAAATGGAAATCAAATTCCAGCATTTGTCATAATAACAATAATGTACTGGGAATTGGCATACAAACAGCAAATAAAATTATATCACCATCAATCGCATAATTTTTTCGTTTCATTGGTAATTTTGTAATAATTGTGAATGAATTTATAAATAATTATTATGAATTGATTTTGGTGGACGAAAATGTTCTACCGAAAACCATATCAACGTTTCAACCGCCCGAAAAAACATTTTGTTGTATTTTCTTTCCGTTTTGTAATAAAATTTGTTGTTTAAATGCAACAACGAAACGATTTAATTACTATTCAAACCAAACGACTTTAACAACTTGCAATCACTCATTAAATTAACGACAACCAGATTTTCATTTCATTTGCATTTTTTTCAAATTTAATTTCATTTTCATTTCAAACAAAATAACCATTTATGTTTTTATGTTCATTTCTTCGCTTTTGTATTTTTTTTTTCTTCTTCTTTTTCTTCTTTTTTGAGAATTTGTTAAAAGATAAAAATGTTTACCACAAACTTTGTGCACTATCTAAGGATTTGTCATCTGTTTCTCGCAATCAATTCGATTCAAAAATCACAACTCTTTGACCCGATCAAAAACACAAATGGAAATTATTTAAAGTAACTTGAATAGTTACAGGGTATGTTGAACGAGAGCGACTCACTTGTTATCCGATCAACATTTTCCATCGAACTGACATCGGTGCGGGTCGAAATAGGTGTTATATTCATGCATGCTTACAATTCGGTAGATCAGCTATACAACAGCAACGGCAACAGCAGCAAAAGCAATAACATGAGCGCAAAACAAGCAAGCACAAGCGTTAACAGCACACCAAGCCACTCTAAGCGTGAGCGCGAGCACAAAGAAATGTACTAAAAACACACGAATGACAATATTATTGTGTTGTCTTTTCTTTTTATTCCATTTTTTCTGCCCTATCTCGCATTCTTGCGCACGACTCGTGCCGTCTTGACATTTTTCTCTCATAGAAAATTGATGACCGCAATTGATTTGTAATGAAAAAAAAAAAATTCGAGAACAAATTGATTTGAGATGTGGGACCGTTGCTGCGCACACAATTGTAAGAGTATTGCGGTGGTGGTGTGAAATGGGCAATTCAATTTGCTCTGCCCCAACTCTTTTCATGCACTTTAGAATCATGAGTGTGGCTCATATTGCGCGCGCATCGTTCTGCTCTCTATTGTATTGATGTAGATTGAAAATGTGTCATACAGACTCCGCGGAATGGCCAATCGTCTTACAACATGCATGCAAAACAGGATGACACATGATTTGAAAAAAGCGATTTGAGTCGTAACCGAGTAAACAAAAAATGTTTTTTTTCTGATTGGACCTGTGTTCGATGTAGTTCAATTGATCTGTGATTTATGACGGTAAAAGTTCAAGTAAAATTATAATGACGGCGGTGCTTTTTTTGATTCACTGCTGGAAATAATTTTTGACACGAGCTGCAACTGATATTGCGATGTTGGCCATGGGAAATGAATTGCCACGATTTTTTTATTCTTTCTTTCTTTCTCTCTCTCTCTCTCTCTCTCTCTCTCTCTCTCTCTCTTTCTCTCTCTCTCTCTCTCTCTCTCTCTCTCTCTCTCTTTGTATTTGCTTCGGATTTCTCATTTGAACGCATGAAAGAATCTCAATGCAAACGCTTCGTGATTAGATAAACAAACCGTTTAGATGATTTTTTTCTTCTTTACTTCGATAATGTGCGTTTGCTAAATACGACACGATTGTTGCTAGCCCAGCTTTCAATTTCATTTTTGTTATCTCTCTGCATTCGATACGTGTGTGTATTTTTATACGACAATCGACATATCGGGAATCGCAAATTTTCATCGGATGCCATTATCCTGCATCGGACAGTCAGCGTTAACCGATTTTTCGTCAAACACCTCTTCCATTCCCAGCAGCTCTTATCAGCTGCCAGCGATTCAACACGACATATATGGATTTGATTTTTTTTTTGCAAAGAATAAGCGGCAGCTTTAAACTATTCTCCACTTCCATTGGATTTCAACGTTCAAAATGTATCTAATGTAATGGAAACTAAATGCAAGTGGAGACGGTGTGTAAAAAATAATGTAGAAAACCTTTTAAAATGGGGAAGGTTCTTTGCACACTTCTTTTTTGTTCTCATTCAAATTTTCTATTTATTCCAGACATTCGGCATAGCCGCAGATAAGGCCATTGCCTCTTTTTTTTCTATTTTCTGACTCATTTTAATAGTAAACGTTTTGATATTTTTTTCTGTTGAGCTTAGTGCCATTTTATTCATGCTCTATTGTCTTTTCACAATCTACAATCGGACGCAGTTGATATGAATATTTTTGCACTCTTCAACGCGTCTCTATCTCTCTCTCTCTCTCTCACTCGATTGTGTAGAAGCGGCAAACAGTCTACATACTCGTTTTTGTGCCATAATGAACTCGCAATCAAAAAAAATGCGAAACATTAGAAGAGAGACGATATGAAACAAAGCAATGAGAGAGAGAGAGAAGTGTATGCGGCGCGTGTTGAACTTCATCGAAATCGATTTTATAATGGTTTAATAGTAATCACGTTCATGATCAATTCAGCCCCTATTTTCGAAACAATAACATCCCGTTGAACAAACACGTGGTTGCGTCTGTATACGCCGTGCTGAGTATGTTGAGCAATAATAACAACCATTTCAATTCGATTAAACGAATCAATCTTCGTTCGGTCGTGCAATGCTAACATTTTAATGTTTTCACCATTGCTTTTCTTCATATACAACCAAAAAAAATGACTAGTTTCACGGTATTAGGTCAATGGTGTTATTATCTATTGGCGTAATAATAATGAACTTCGAAAATTGAGGCGCCTCAATTCACGCACATTAATTCTTAATGGACACGTTTTGCGGCCCGTAATTCGTCTGATCTTTCGCGCGATGTATCACATTATTTAAAAAAAAACACTTATATCATTGTCAGAAACATGAATGGAACAAACATAAACTTTAACCTATTTCTTTGATATTTTTAGTCGTTTGTTTTTGGCTTTGAGAATGACAGTAGTTTCGTTAGAACCGAGGAAAAAAAAAAATACGGAAGCTAATGTGAGCCAGATGATAAGATTTTTAGCACTTCATGAAATGTAGAGCTACTAATCTGCTTTTTTTTCTTCTTCTTCTTAATACTTTTTGAGTGATGAACATGATTAAATGAAACAAATTATGGTGAATTTCAATTTTATGCTCATATTATTTATTCAATTCAAACCAAAGGCAGTATATTTCAAAAAAAGAAATTAAACCAAGATCTTGTAATTCATTTTGCAAATTAATATAATACTTCAAATACATTTCATGTAGTGCGCCAAAAAATAGTTCGTTGTGAAACAACAAAAAAGATTAAGTAACTAAAAATTCAAGAACGCAGAGCGGAGCGAAGTAAAGCTCTGTGGTCTTGTTTACTTTGTCTTGTTTTGGCCCCAAAATTTTTTTTCTTCGACTCTGAACTTCACTGCAGACACAGACATGTTCAATCGAAAATAAACAAATAAACCAAAAATAGATTGGAATACATTGTAATCAAAACATAATCAGTTCCTCGAATGGTATGTGTTCCGCCCTGAGGGGGAGATGGATATCAACGTCAACAACGAAATTGCACATATCAATCGAAAACGCGACTACCGTGTATGATAAGATCGCATGTAGAATCGTTTTCGATTTCATATTGCGGTTCTAAAGTATAGAACCAACGTGTCTGGTGTGTATGGTGGCCAAATTGATCGGAAACCGGTAAAATCAGCTAAAAATGTATACAGGAAAATTCCGTCTGAATTATAATGCAGGTCAGTGGGATAAGATGTGATTATTGTTCGTCATCTTTTTTTTCCATTCTTTTTAAATTCGTTGTGAATTGAAATCCGAGTGTTTATTTTTTCGTATTTTGGCCAGAGAGTAGAGCACACGAGCCGACTGATCATCAATTTGAGCTCAATAATTCGTTGTCATTTATGTACGTAACAAAGGGATTAATATTGCGAATGATAGTCTGATTCGTTTTTGTTCATCTCTCTCTCTCTCTCTCTCTCTCTATCGCATTGACAATTGAAATTATTGAGATTTTTGGGTCGTTATGATTAATGAATAATCAGCAATCAAGTTCATATATTTTTAACTTCCCTTTTTACGCTCCGTTATTTGATTGGTTTTAACATTAAACCATAATAATGTTGTTTGATGTGATTTCAAAAGAGTTATGAAGAAGAAGATAGAAAAACACCACACAGCAACCGTACACAATCCAAGTGGCGATTGATACTCACACACATACACAAAATAAAAGACATTTTCGAACACGAGCGATAATTTTTGGCATATCATTTGCATTCCTTTTCGAATTCTTGCCAAACCGAACATGCTTTATGTCACGTAGTAGCACCGGATTGGGATATATAATTCTAGACGAAATTTTCTTTTGAAATCATAATTATTGTCATTTCGCGTTGTTTTTTTTTTCTCTTTAATTTTTTGTTCGAGAAAGTGCTTGAAAAAGGATAAAACTGATGCGCCATATTTGACTATACAACTAGCAAACTAGTAGCAGCAGCAACGGCAACAACAAGCGCAGAAGACATACACCTCCAAATGTCGACACAAGACTCAACAAGTGTTCTGAAAAACAAAGAATCAAGCTGATAGCTGATAAGTAGCCTGAAATTCTATGCTCTCGTTCGTTCGATTTCGAAAAAAATCACATTCCATTTCTTGTTTTCTCTGGAAATGTTTTGGCGATCGTGTTATTTTATATATGCAAATTACCCGAAGTCAAACCACTCTGGTTGGCTCAAGGCATAGCGTCGACATTTGCCGTCTTGACTTTTGGCTATGTCGCCAGATATACTTCGGACAATTTGGAACACGTGCCGCGCGTGGCCTAATTAGCCACCGGTGCTTTACAAATTTATACCTTTTTTTTTTCTTCATTTTCAATCATTCATTTCGATGAGTCGCCGAAAGCAGCGTGTGTATTGGCATGGAATGTGAATTGTTTTTGAATTTTTATATAAATTGTTTGTTTCCAAATTACTTTGTTTTGTTTTTATTTTTTGTTTTCATTGAAAGGTGCACTAACCCCAAGAAAAAGTGTTAGTTTTTTGCAATTGAGCCGATTAAAATATTCCAAATATTTTGACTTCGTTAGAATTTCACTGGACTCAATTGAGGCTGTGAGAATGAAAATGGCAATACAGGAATAAACATTCTGAAACGCATCAAGAAAAAAAATTCGCAAAAATGAATCATGAGTTCTGATTCAGAATGTTGTATTCAGCATGTTGTATTCAGAACTTCTGAATATGCAAAAGTGAAACATGAATTTACATGGGCAGCATAGGAGGTTCATGATTCACTTTTGCGAATTTTTTTTTCTTGATGCGCTTCAGAATGTTTATTACTGTATTGCCATTTTCATTCTCACAGCCTCAATTGTAAACAATGCGTAGCGTATTGATAGCATCAATTTCAGTTGCGGTCAATCTAGAAATAGATCATTGGCACTCGGTTTGCGTTTATTTGCACTTTCTTATGTGCGCTTTCTTTTCTCTGTCGGATCAGCATTGCAATTTATGTAAACAGTAAACAAACATGATTTATTAGCTCAAGTCATTGGATTTGCTAATCAACATCACACATCCATAT